CTTTTCATTTTTCTCTTTTGGAGTTCTTTTTCTTTCGTCTTTTCTTTTGATTTTGTGTCTTGGGTTAGCTGCTTGTTTGGTTCATTATATGAAAATTCTAGGTTCTATTATGTGACTTCCTGTTTTGCGTTGAAGCAAGGAGGTCATTGCCTCATTCTAAGTGTGGGGGAGTCAAATTGGATTTTGCATTCTTATGTGGTGGATCGGTCTAGTTTTAGGATTTTGTGTTGTTGAGCATGTGATATTGGTGAATTATGAGAATTGTTGATGAATGTTTGATGAAATTGGAAAGTTGTGATGATGGATGTGTGGTCATTGCCTCCGTATTTGCTTGATGGCCTTGAGTGACATCTATTTGCCTTGTGAGATTTTGAGCCTTACTTTTTCTTCTTGTGAGATATTGGTCATATTCTTGCAGAATTAGAGCTTGCCTTGTGTTTGTTTGAAAGGAATTAATTAGAGTTAAAATTGCGAAGGTGATTGAGGCGTTTTGTTGATTAGCTCTCTTTTTGCCTTGTATTTGGTCCTAAAATTTATTCTACTACTAGCCCCTTGAGCTTAAAACCTTTTCTTGTCAACCTATTGACTGATTTGTGTGATGATTGGGGGATTGGTGGCATTTTTGAATATGGTGGATATTGAGTTGCGTTGTTATTTGCTTGACCAGTAAAAAAAAACGAAAAAAAAAGCATGAGAGCTCACAGGACGATTCAAATGGATTCTGCTCCTCTTACTAGTCGCTTCATGTTGACAAGTAATGAGCATTGGGAAACTACAGTAGGACACTTGGATGACCTCCAATGTTCACACCTACAGAAGGTTGTCCTTTTGATTCGATCTTGTTCGGAAAAAGTTACTCTCCGAATAAAAAAGATATATATATAAGACAAAAAATTGGGTCAAGTGATGTCGCAATTCGATTAGAGCAGTTGGGTGTTGGTTGTGGAGTGTTTGGTGGATGGTGAATGTGTGATATTGTTTATTCCATATTGGTAGCGGAGAACTCGAGTAATTTATTTGCTCGAGAATTTTGTTGTTTATTTGAGCTTCTTTTCTGGCATATATATCCTTCCTTCAACCCGCATTACAACCCGTGAAGTCCTCTTGATTCGTATATTTTGAGCTTTGATTGTCTTCGAGTAATTTAAACGATTGGCAAGCATATGTTGAAACTTGAATATTGACCAATTTTGAGCGAACCTATCATATATTTATGTAAGAAAATGAGTGAGGCATATATGATGATCTATGTTTTAAGAGTTTGTCATTTCAAGAGCAAGTTGATATTTGAGGCATATGGTCGTACGTTCGTTGGAATCCGACTCAATTGAATTGAGCATTTTGAGACTCTTCTTATTTGAAACCGTATCAATGCTCGTATTTTGTTTTCTTTTCTTTTTGTTCGGGACGAACAAAGGTTTAAGTGTGGGGGAGTTGTTTGTCCTATTTTTGTTGCATTTTTCATCATTGTTTTGCCTTTTCTTTTCCCCTCGTTTTAGGTCTTTTTCGTGGTTTTTAGTCGTTTTTATAGTTTATTGCGTGTTTCCCTATATTTTGAGTGTTTTTGTGTTTTTCGTGTTCTTCTTCTGTTTTTCTCCGTTTTCTTCTTGTTTTTGGTGTGCAGGTCAAAAATCCAGTGACGAATAGATTTCTCCCGAAACCTGACCATTCAAGAACAACTTAGTAGAAGGGTCAGTTGGCGACAAGTAGGAAAAAGCAGAATTTGATTTCGAGTTTGGACGAGTCCGAACGGGGCCGAAACGCAAAGTCAAGCAAGTTGCCGATCCTTTCTAAGTTGGAAATTGGAAGAGGATTGTTTTCTGGGAGAAGGTTTGTTTTGCTGGCATATTTGAATAGAGAGGTTCGTCGGCGACACATAGGAAAAAACAGAATAGAATTCCGAGTCCGAACGAGTGCAAACGAGCTCGAGACCCGAAGAAGGAGGAGCTGCCAGGCACCGCGCGCGCACCGCACCATGACGCACGCCGCGACCCGGACAGAGACTCCCAGGCTTACGCGCGCCGCGGTGCGACACTCACCGCGGCGCAACAACAGCAGTCACCGCGGCGCGACGCACCTCCGCGGCGCGACAGATGCATCCCGCGCACGCGACACGCCCGCGGCGCGGCACATCCTCCCAGCACGGCGTGGCACCTCTCCATGGCGCGCCAGATCATTATTTTCATGCTTTTCACTGTGTTACTTATAAATACACGTCGGGACTTCAAAAATAGATAACTCTCGACCGGGGCTTCAAACCCTAGGTCCCGAGAGAGCGAGAAAACACCACTCTTCTCTTCCCTTCCTTCTTCTCTTCGATCCTTCTTCTTTCAACTTTTCTTCTCCATTTTTGTATCTAGAATTTATTCTTGCTTTTTGGGATTAAGCTTGTAGTTCGTCTTCAACACGGGAACTTGAGATTAATCGTAAGTTTCTTTTCTCTCTTGTTTAATTCATGAATAATGATTAAATTCAGAGAATTAATTTATTGTGTTGAATTCAATATGCTTTGCTAATTCCGATTGCTAGGGATAGGGAATGATTGTTCTTGTTTGAAGTATCTGTCGGGCCTAATGTGTTCATGCTTATGCGAGTTGAATTTATTCGAATTGATAGAATCTTGTTTGATTGATTGATATAATCGAAGAGTCACACTTCGATCTTGCAATTAAAAATAATTGAATATTGATTAGTCGAGTTAGGGTTTTGTTAATTCGATATGATTAGTTGATTAATTCTCTTATAATTTAATTAGCAACTTTTGAACCGGAAGGGGAGAAGTCGTAGAACTAGGCTCGCATGAGGTAGATAATTTCGTAGTTGAAGAATCTATGTGGTATGGATTGAAATGCGTGCTTTCGATGACCCGTCCCTTGTTACGAAAAGTTATTGGGATTTGGTTAATTGACTTGTGTTGTATGCTCGAGCTTGCTCGTCTATGTTCAATTTCTTGTTAAGAAGAGTTAATTGGAGCGAAACGCTAGATGTTTAAGCGAGAGTGTCGATCTTAAACCGAACAATTGATTGCCCGACTTTTCTAGAACTGAAATTAATTATCCCCGATTCCCTAGCTTCTCCATCTTTATTTCGTTTATATTTTTAGGTAGATTATTGCTTTTTATTATTTCATAGCTGATAATTATTCAATCCCCTTATCTGATTAGTATGTTTAGGATTTCATTTGCTTTTATGTGTTATCAATATCAAAGCTAAATTCCGAACAGCCTTCCTCGAGAGATCAACCCAGGGAACAAATCTTTCGATTCGATACTCGGTAAAAATAACAATTTGTACACAACATGATGCATATTTAGTTAATTCATAATACATATTTAGTTCTTACGAAATGCATATTTAGTTCATGAACAGTGCATACCTAGTTTATTTGAGATCCAATCATAACAATTTATTTGTAGATCAATAACTTATATTAATCAATTTAAAACTAAAATTAATTACATAATAAAAATAATTAATTATTATATTTAAATTAATTGTATAAAATTTATATTTTATTGCATATATTCGTTGCATATCTATATATATATAATTGCTAGCATATAGCATTTAATAAAACCTATTTAATAAAACCTCTAAAAATTTTCCCTCCATTTTTGGTTACAAAATTTATCATTAATATTTTTTTACTTCTCACATAATACATCCTATTAAGTGCAATCATGTATTTTTTCTATTATATTATATAATAGTTATTGCTAATACCAACTAATAATAATTCACAATAAATATAAATTACCTAATTATAAACAATTGTTTCAAGTTATTTATATTAACATCAATATTATCTTTTCCTTTTGTATTTTATGAAAAAATTTCTTTAAAAATAATAAGTAAATTTTTTTAATAGCATAGTCAAACAACTTTGGAATCTTATAAACAATTGTTTCTTAATAATAATAATAATAATAATAATAATAATAATAATAATAATAATAATAATCAAACTATTATTATATAATGATAATAAACAATTGTTCATAATAATAAAATCGTTAATTTATTTTTCCTAATGATCAATTTTTTTAAAATGAAGTATGTTCATTATTTAGAATTTTAATATTAAATTCTCAAATATTACTTAGAATATTTTATGTACATCTGTGCATGTGCACATGATATCCACTAGTTTAGTTCATTCATGATGCATATTTCGTTAGTAAAATGTGTATATTTAGTACATAAACAATGCATACATAGTTGATATTATTGGTGCATATTTAGTTCATAAGGATGACATGTATAATTCATATCTTATGCATATTTAGTTCATATTAAGTGCATAGTACTGATGCATATTTGCTTATACATAATGCATACTAGGGGTCAACGGCGCCAGAAGTCAACAGTCAATGCCGGAAACCAACGCCGAAAGTCAACGGTCAACGCCGGAAGTCAACGGTCAACGCCGGAGTCAACGGTCAATTATCAAAATTATATTTATTTAATTAAAATAATAAAAATAAAGAATTAAGTAATAAAAATAAAGAACTCTTATTTAAATGAAGAGCTAAATCTTGGTCACACATGATGTACCAATTTAGTGGATAGGAATGAATCACATGCACACTTTTTTTTTTTTTTCGTACAGGGACCTTCCGGTTTCCGGATCCACAGGAGAACCGACTAATCCGGAATCGAGCCGGGTAGGACCACAAGGGCGGCAAAGCTCTCCCTCAAGAGTTTTAACACTGCTGCATTCCCAGGACTCGAACTCGAGACCACTGGTTAAGCTGGAAGAGACCCAAGCCATCTCATCCAAGAATCACATGCACACTTTAAATATGTTCGACTCATTGGATCCAATCCATATATATTTTACGTAAAAATGTTCATAAATAATATCTATAATATGACGTTGATTAAGTTACTACCACAACAGCATGAAATTTACAAAATCAATAAGCTAACAAATCAATCATCAAAAAATATATTTCACCATGCCACCAATAATTAATGGTTAAAACGAAAATGTATGTATATCACAAGCCAGGCGTAAAGGGAACTCCAGTGGACGGCAACCACGCCCGGCCAGCGATAAGGCTTCCCACCGTGAACCTAGCTGCCACGTTAGAGCTTGTGATGACGTGATGCCCAGGCCACCTAACGCGACTCCTCGTGGACCCGCCGGGACCAAAATTACGGTACTCCCCATAGTACAAGGTGGTGAGCGCGAAGTTGGAGTCTTCCCACTGTGACCACCCCTGGCCGCTAACAAACCCATCTATGAAGCTCTTCATTATAACGGTTCGTGAGTACTGCTGCCAAGGCCGACCAAGATAGGTTCTGTAGGACCTGGCCACGGGGCGGAGGTCAGGTGCGGGCATGATCCGAGAGTTATGGATGGAGATGCCCGTGTTCTGGAAAGGGTCGCCTCGCCCCTGGGCCGTGATCACGTTAGCTTGGCCCCACACTGGTCGCCGCACGTAAATGACGCAGTTCTGAAAGACGACGGCAGCATTGCCGAAGATGAAGTCAATGGTGCCGTAGATGTAGCACGACTTATAGAATTGGCGTTGAGCGTGGACAAACAACGTGTCTTGGTAACCCTCGAATGAGCACGCATAGAATACCGATAGGTCGGAGGCTGATCGGAGGGCCACTGCCTGCCCACTCCGTGGGCCTGCCGTGTTGCGGAATGTGATGCCACGTGCGATGAAGCCGATGCCGTCCACGCCTGCATGTTGATATTTTTTTTACTTTTATTATGTTTACCTTTCATTAGTCATTGAAGTCAAAATGAATCCCTCTTTTTAGGAAATGCGAAGATGGCGAGCGTAGGGGTTGCCATAATTCATGGTGTGCAAAGTTATTAGTAAAGTAAAGCGTCAAATAAGCCATAAATAAGTTGACTAGAATGATCAACGTGAGCTTTTACGCAGAATTATTGATTCAACTGCAAATCACTTCTCTGAGGAAAGTCAAAGAATTCCTTTACTTTAACTTAGTTTCATTCAGGCATTTTCTAATCCGAATTACAAATATCATAAATAAATAAGGGATACGTTGTAAAATATAGCCAGTATCTTGTATGCGGTGGCAATAATAGCCACCATCTTTACGAATTGGCAATATTAGCCAACAACTTTCAAAATTTCACGATTATTATCCAAATCCAACCAAATTCGACAGATAAATTACAAAATATAGTCAGTATCTTTTTATGCAGTGACAAAAATAGCTATCGAATTTGGTCAGACATGGATAATAACCTAAAATTTTGAAAATTGTAGACTAACATTGCCAAGGCGTAAAGATGGTGGTTTACATTGCCACTGCAAAATAATTTTATTGAATTCCCACTCAAAGTCAACCATATGGAGATTCTGCTCAGTTATTAATTTACCGTCTGCATTATGTAACAGAGTCATAATTGAATGCCAAATAAAGTATTGCAAGAACTTTGATCTCCGTAATAATTATTTAATTTTAAAAGAATGTGCAGTGAGTATTTCATGTGAGTTGTATTGAAATTTGAAATTTTGAATGCATCATATGATTTCTAATCTTAATTTATTTTTTTTTTTAACAGTGATGCAATCAAAATAATCCCAGCTGTTTCAAATATTCAATATGAGAAATTTAATCTGCTTAATTAGCAATATTATACGATAGCATGGGTCGACAGCTGGAAGAACAGTAAACTTACCGACAGTGGCGGAGCTGTAGGTGGTGAAGCCAGCGGTGACACTCCTAGCGCCTGTGATGACGGTCCGCCTCAGCCCATCCCCGACCAGCATGACATTATTCATGGTCCTCCCTATCAGCACGTTCTCCCTGTACACCCCTCCCCTCACGTGCACCACCACCCGTCGCCTGCTCCCAGGCCTCCTCCTCCCCACCGCCCACTCCACTGCCGCCTGCACCGACCGGAACTCCCCCCTCCTGCTCTTCGACACCACCGCATCAGCCCTCACCTCCCCCACCAGCATCCTTCTCGTCACCCACTGCGGAAAGTACCCACCCGACGTCGAATTCTTCTCGAGGAGGGCCCCGTTGGTGGCCAAGCTGTTGCTGATGAGCTCCGACACGTTCCCGGACAGGATGGGGCTCCGGAAGCCCATCAGGTTGAGGTCGTGCGAGCCCGAGCGGCAGATCTCGATGTTCGTTAGGGCCGTGCTGAGCCACGTCTGCACGTCCCACCCCGTGAAGCTGGCATTGGTGCGAATGCTTTGGAGGGTGGTGTTGAGCTGGACGACCGTATTTTCCATCAGGTTGTTGCAGTCTCGGAGGACGACGGCTTTCCGCTTGCTGCGGCAGTGGGCCAGGCCGGGCCAGGCATCCGATTGGGCCTCCAGAGAGCGATCGAGAGCCGCCTGGATAGTCATGGTGCGGAAGTCCTGTGGGGATCGTGGGGCTGTGTAGTGGGCCATGAAATGGGTGCAGGGGCCCGGGTGTGGGGTGGTGCCGCACCACCAGGTGATGTCCTTTGAGGAGGCCGCTCGGATGAAGATGAGGCTGAGGAGGAGGAGAAGGATGGCTATGAGGTTGTTGGTGTTGCTTTTAGATGCAGCCATGGTGTGTTTATTGTCTTTCTTAATTTCTTTAGGGAGAGTTTTAGTGTTGTGGTTTCATCATCTAAAATTAAGAGGAGGAGTGTTTGAGGTTTCAATGAGCTAGGACACGAAGTTAATTGTAGGTCCATATATCTTTATAAGTTTGTGTGTATAGATTTCTTTTGTTTTGGACAGTTGGATATAGTTTGAGATGGAGGGAAATGGAATTAATGTGATTAAAAATATGTATGAAGTTGCTTGAAATTCAAAGTTGAAAAAAATTGGGTATCTTTAAGATGACGAGATCCTTGTTTCATGGATCACGGCCATTATACTCAAAGGCGGGATGGGATCAATTATGTGTGTTTGAAGAGAGAGAGGTTTTGCTGTACCATCGTGTCACGAGCCATGTTGATTTGGAACAATGTTGAAGATAGTATTTTATTGAGGGGTGGATTAAATGCAACTCTGATGGTGCCTTTAACAACTCTACAGGTATGGCGAGCGCCGGGGGACTCTTGCGCGACCATTTTGGGCGTTTTTGTGGGGGTTTTATCATGAACATAGGCTTTTGCTCTATTATGGGTGCGGAGATTTGGGGGTTGTTACAAGTTTTGACGTTGGCATGGGACTCGGGATATAGACGTGTTGTGGTCGATGTTGATAGCCAGGCTGCGGTTGACCTGGTGAATGGCCAGGAAGAGGTCGAGGGAACTCATGGTAGCCTCGCTCGGGCCGTGAAAGTGCTAAGGAATCGAGATTGGACGGTGGTTATTCGTCATGCATGCGTATAGAGAATCAAATTTCTCGGCGGATTACCTTGCTTCATTGGCGGCTACTAGCCCCGGAGGTCTTCATCGTTTCGAATTCCCGCCAATTGGTTTGAAACCATGGTTAGAGCATGATCTTGTCGGGGTGGCATACCGGCGTAGGATAGTTGTCTAACTCTATCCCTCCCTATCTTTGTACCAAAAAAAAAAAAGATAGTATTTTATTTGTTGGATATGAAAGGCATCCACTCATAATCTTTTAATGATTCAAATAAATGTTCACACTTACATTTCTTTATTTTTAATTTTTGTCTCAATTACTTTTCCCATATATATATATATATATATATATATTTGAAATGGCAGAAATACTCATAACTAAGAAATAAAAGTTTTACAAATCGAAGAGCGAACACTAGTAGAAAAAACCTTTTTTATAACAGAGTTTTTATAACGGGTTTGTAAAATATGTTATAAAAATAAAGACGATGGCATTTTTGTAATAATCATATTTTATTTATATCAGGTGTCTGTGACACCTCTTATAAAGTTTTGAGACTCTCAATTATCTATAACTGGTTATTTAAACAACTGTTATAAAATTTTTAAGATTTATCAAATCCATGCGTCTCTAAACATGTCCGTCTCTCGCTCCCAACAAATTACCTCTCACCCTCTATCTCGCCCAAAATCACAGACCTCGACCAAAATCGCACAACTCTCAAAACTGCCCAAAATCGCACAGCCCAAGCCCTATTCCAACTCGCCCGTCGTCGTTCGTCGTTGCACTGAGCCCTCGCCGTCCGTCGCTGCACTAGCCCTCGCCATTCGGTGTTGGCCGTTCCAAGCCCTATTCGCACTCATCTGTCGCCGTTCGTACCAAGCCCCCGTCGCCGTTCGTCGCTGCACTGAGTAATAAACCACAATTTTTCTTTTAATTTCAGAGGTTAAATTTATCTTATTGATCGCTGCTCCTCTTTTTTTTTTCTTTGCTTGCTTTCATATTCAATATGTTTCATAACCTTTTCTTATACAAACAAGAGTTTCAATCGAGGGATGGTGGTGCGAAAACGTGTTTAGACAAGACTACTATAGTAGTATAGTACCTCATTTATTATAGGCTCGTATTTGTGAAATTCAACATGAAAATTGAAGTTTGGAATTGGAATAAGGAAAATTGAAGTATGTTTTCACCCTTTTACAAATGGTTAAAATGACTCAGCATTGTGCTAGGCCTTATTTTTTCTAATGGAATAAGTAAAATTGAAGTATGCCCTAGAAAATACCATTCTCTCACAATTTTCTTAAGATTTTTCTCATAAATGCTAGGCCTTCTTTTTTCTTCTAACCATGATATTTGACATTTTGGAGATGAAAATCTGAAAGGAAATTAAAGTTTTTGTGTATCTGATATCCTATGTTACTAACTCTCTTGGCCTTCATATACTGGTTTTTCCCATCTGCATTCATCCTTATGAGTCCATGTGAGTTTAGCCTTACGAGTCCATGTGAGTTTAGCCTTACTCTTGTTCAGTTCTCTCATTATTTAGATTGTTGACTAAACCGCTAGATCTTGAAATTCGAATATGTGATCACATTATGTTCTCTTCAGTCAGTTTTGAGGAGGCATGATAGGCTACTTTTGTGTTTGTCTGATCACTTGTGGTCTCTTTTATCTTAGTTCTGGTATCCATTTTTAAGTGTTGCACGGATAAACATTCTGGTTTGTAACTTGTTCTTTCATGTTGATGTTTTACCACTGAAGATTTAGGCCAGAGTGGATAACTTGACAATGCTGATAGGGAGGCCATAATGTAGATGAAGGAGGTAGGGCAAAGTTTAACTTCTGCCGGATTTGTTCTTTATTTATTTATTTCCATGCAGTAGTGATACTATTCATCAATGTTCTCTCACATCTCTGAACTCATATCGCGAGGTATGGGACCTATTTGAGATTTTGCCTAGAAGTTAAGTACGTTCAGACCCCTCTGTCTTCGTTTGTTACTTCGCGTCTATAGTTTTCACTTCTCCATGTTTAAGGTTTCTGCTATATCCCCTTCCTTGCAGGAATTGATGTTCTATTCAATTGTAAAGGACTTACTGTCAGTCAATTTATCGGGGTATGCTTTCCTTGCTATCTAGAAGAGTGACTTGTCATTTTCTCATTGGTGGAGCCTTATGTTACATGATTGATGGCTACCATTGACCCACTGAAAGTACTCATGCTTCAATGCTCCTCCTGATGTGCTTTAGTTTTCTCTCTTTTTTTCTCGTTTGCTCTAGTACTACACTGAGATACCTGAAGAAGAGAGTGGAACTCCTGTACGCTGTTCCATCTCTGTTTCATGTTTGAGAAAATCCTTTATTTTCGGAAATGTTTTCTTGGTCAGTTGAGACTAACGAACCTGCTTTTATCGAATATGTTATTGCTAGCTTCATTTTAATTTGTAGTCAAGTGATCTATAGTTCTATATATATGGTTGTAGTTGGGAATTTGGGATATATGGTTCAGAATTCAATATTCATAAATTTCCACATCCGTGATAGACTTATTTTGTGGTTCTCATTCAGAAGTCTGTATCTGGCATGGACGCATGGAAGAGCAACTTTGGAAAAGCTATTTGAATGGTAATAAAAGTCCAGTTGCAACAATTTTTCTTGTCATATAACCTTTTTTGTTCTCGAATTGGTTCTGCTGACGTGGTTGAATTTGCTTTTTATGATTTTCCTGAACATATTATGTTCTTTTGAAAACTTATTTCTTAAATGCTGAGTGAATTGATCAAGATGCTACATAGTCTGACTATGTGATGTGCATTTCTTTTGTGAAAATTTGTGCTATCAGATTCAGACTAAAGGATTTGTTTGTCTATCAGAAGGATATCATGGAGCGACTTTGTGTATCTATACTGCAGTTCTTTAATTTGTGAGTAATTTTTAACCATTTTTTTCTTATTGTTTTTTTATATTATACTAGATATACTTATTCTTGTTGTTGTTGTTGTTGTTGTTGTTGTTGTTTACAGGTGTTTAATTTGGACGAACCCTTCTCGAGTGATTTTATTAATGATATAAGGATACGTTGAACTTAGTATTTTCTTGATATGACTTCATTAGTGAAGTAAGATAAGATTAGACTTTTGTTAGACAGGCTTTGTAATTTGTTGAACATGTGGTGTGAAACTATTTGTCATTTGGTGTTGTTGTGTTTGTGATGTTGATCCATACTGTTGGTGTGTTGGCATTGAACTAATGGTAGATATTTTCTTTTGTTGTTTGTTTGTTGATATGGTAGTTTTGTTTTTTAAAAAATAGTATGTTGCACCATTTTTTATAATAGGTGTTATCTACGATTTAAAAAATTGTACATTTTAATGTCGGTTCAAAATTATAACTTGTCATTATTTGTCCGTTATCAAATACATTGTTTTTATAACGGGTATTTAGTAACCCGTCATAAATTATAGTGTAAACAAAAGAAGTTTATAACGGGTAAATGAAAGTCTGTTATAAATATAGTATATTTTATAACGGGTGAATGAGGAACTATTATAAAATAGTGTAGTCTATAACAGGTAAATTAAATATTTATAATGGGTTTATGTTACCCGTTATAAATGACAGTCAATTTATAACGGTTCAATAACCGTCATAGAAAGTTCGTACTTTCTATAACGTCTGAAACTATAACGAGTTCAAAACCGTTGTAAAATGTCTTTTTTACCCGTTATAAAAAAACGTTTTTTCTACTAGTGGAACAAGCCCAAATACAAAACCAAAATACGAGAGGAACACCAGAAACGGTGCCCTAGAATTAAACTAACAGCAAGACTAAAAAGAACTATATGCGAGGCCAGAAGCTCGAAACCTATAGCCAAATACAACTCAATACAGTCCACATATATCACACACACGAGGAGAAAAAGAAAAGAAAAGAAAATTGAACACATGAACCTAATCTGCTAGTTTATCTACTTGACTCTACTTGACAAAAATTCGGTCCACTCCCTCCAATCATTTCACACTATTACTCTCACCGACAGCCATTCTCGTTGAAATACCGATAAATTTCGCGCATTCCACAACCACCAAAGATCATAAGTGGAAAGCTGGATGCGGGCCTCCGATGTCTATGATTTATCACGCTCAGTAATTGGCCACCAACACTCTTCAAACGACCCTGTTTGTTGTTGGCAGAAATTCCAATCCAAAGCAGATATCTTTCGTACCATAACAACTCTAATCCAATGA